CAATTTCGGTACAATAATATTAAAGGGACAAGAGGAAGAAGTTTCTGTTGCAGGGGCCAGCATTGTGGCGTAGTGAGTAAAGCTGCCACCTGCGACACTAGCATCCTATAATGGGTGCTGGCATCCCAGGTGCTCCACTTGTGATCCAGCTCCCTGCTAATGTGCCTGGGAAAGCAGTGGAAGATGGCCCAAGTCCTTGGGCCCCTGCACCCTCATGGGAGACCCGGCAGAAGATCCTGGCTCCTGGTTTCAGACCAGACCAGCTCCGGCTATTGTGCCCATTTGGGGAGTGAATCAGCAGATGGAAGATCTCTCTCTTTGTTAACTCTGCCTTTCAAATAAATAAATAAATCTTTAAAAAAAAAAGCTTCTGTTACAGAAAATCTGTGTACCCAGCACCTCTCACTCACCTACTCACTCTACTGAAGTGGGTAAGAGCTAGAGAAAGCTGTCAGCCACTGTCTTACTTTAGCCGAGATGTTCTCATTGTTGGTCAATTAAAACTTGCAGCACACTCAGCCAGCAGCATTAAATTTAGATTTCTCATTTACAGTCCAATCATAAAGAACTTAAAGGAAAAAGAGGGAAGTGGGATGTCTGGAGGTCATGGAACAGTTTCTGTGTCTGACTGTAGACATTCACTCAACACTCCTAGCTCCCCTACTCTCTCTCTCACACACACACACACACACCCCTCCTGGGCCCCCAGAACCTAATTTTTCACATTTGGAAAACCCAGATGATTTTTGCCTGGGTCCATCTGGTTTTCCAAATAACCTGTCTTTTTGATAAATAACGTAAGTTAAATTAGACAAGACAAACGGAGGGGTAGTCAGTCAGTTTCTTCCCTTGCCTTGGCCTCTGAGAGAGACAAGGGCTGGAAAACCCAAACCACAGCTCCCTCCCAACCCTGCCCCAGCACTCTCCACCTTGCACCAGGCCCAGTGATTCTCCAGCCCGGAGCTGGGAGCTACCTCTGGCCCACTGACCATTAAGAAAACCACAGATTGTGGTTGCCTGGAGAACCCAGGTCTCCAGCCCCACAGCTCCCTCCAATCACCCGTAGGCTGTAGTTACTCCAACCCCTTTTCCCATTATGGATCCCACCACAGGGAAGAACCAAATCAATAAGCTGAAAATGAAAAATCTTTAAGGTGAGAGAAGAGAGGACAAAAAGAGATGGGAAGGACATGGGTAGCACAGGTGACGACGATGCAGCTACACAGGGACCGAGGGATGGGGCGCCTTGGTCTCTATAGGCGAATCCTGAGGTTGATACCAGCCATACACAAAGCAGTGCCTACCTCTCCGGTTCACAACAGCCCAGGCATACAAGCAGGCCTCCATTCCTATTGTTGTCACAGGCTCCAGCACACAGCTGCGACAGTTGGCTGCTGGGAGAGGACTGTGGGCTGGTGGACTGGAGCCGTGTGGAGACTCGGCCTCTGCTTCCCACTCAGCCAGAGCACAAGGAGGCATCAGCTCCACCCGTCCTTAGCAGTGGGTTCGCCTGTTAGTGCAACCTCTTAAAGAGGCACATCATCTCTCCTTCATTTCTACCTTTGATCCTAACCATAATCCTGTAAGCCAAACCACATCATTTCACGTGAGCCTCATCTTCCAGCAAGGAGAAAGTTCAGTGAGAATGACTCATCCAAGGTCATGCCCCTTGTAAGTTGCAGAGAGAGCAAGGACTCAAAGCAGCCACCTGTTCTATCACAACAGAAAGCTCTGTTAGAAATTCTGCTCTAAGCTTTTCACCATTAGATTTTATTTAAGGTTTATTTATTTAGTTGAAAGGCAGAGCTACAGAGAGGCAGAGAGAGAGAGAGAGAGAGAGAGAGAGAGAGAGAGAGAGAGAATCTTCTATCCGCTGATTCATTCCCCAGATGGCTGGAACTGAGCTGATCCAGAGCCAGGAGCCAGGAGCCTCCCCCAGGTCTCCCACATGGGTGCAGGGGCCCAAGGACTTGGGCCATCTTCTACTGCTTTCCCAGGCCACAGCAGAGAGCTGGATTGGAAGTGGAGCAGCTGGGACTCAAACCAGCATCCATATGGGATGCCAACACTGCAGGCAGCAGCTTTACCTGCTACGCCACAGCACCAGCCCCCACCATTAGCTCTTCCAGGTTTCCCATCACTCATGGCTCAGAAATACTGACTACTTCTATGTGCCAGCTATGTCCAAAGCATTTTTTAAAAATATTTATTTATTTATTTGAAAGGCAGATATAGAGAGAAAGAAAAGAGAATGAGATCTTCCATCCACTAGTTCACTCCTCAAATTGCAACAACAGTCAGGACTGGGCTGGGCCAGGCTAAAGTCAGGAGCCAGCAGCATCTTTGGGGTCTCCCACACGATACAGGGGCCCAAGCACTTAAGCCACCTTCCACTGCATTCCCAGGTACATTAGCAGGGAGCTGGATGGGAAGTGGAGCAGCCAGGACTCAAACTGGCACCCACATGGGAAGAGGCTTAACTTTCTATGCCAGTGCCAGCCCTCAAAGCATATATTTGAAAAACAAAATAGATATGGTCTGTTTTCAGAGCTTATGGTCTAATGGGGAAGGCAGACATTAACATTCAGGTGGCAAACTGATAAAAGACCTAAGAGTTAACAGAGGTTGACTAATTAAGAAATGGTGGTAACAGTCAAAGAAAGCATCTCTGAGGAAGTTAGTTTTAAGATATCTCAAAAATTAAATAATAGACAAAGAGGGAGGTTGGTGAGAGGATTCCAGGAAAATAGGATACTTTTCTTAAAAAAAGATTTATTTATTTTAAAGTCAGCATTACACAGAGAGAGGAGAGGTCTTCCATCCGAATGTTCACTCCCCAGATAGCCAAAATGGCCAGAGCTGCGCCGATCTGGAGCCAGGAGCTTCCTCTCGGTCTCCTATGTGGGCGCAGGAGCCCAAGGACTTGGGCCATCTTCTACTACTTTCCCAGGCTATAGCAGAGAGCTGGATTGGAAGAGGAGCAGCCAGGACTAGAACTGGCGCGTGCTTCAGGCCAGGTGTTAACCCGCTGCGCCATGGCCCCTGGAAGGATACTTTAAGAGGCCCTGAGTTGGGACCCAACCTGTGATACAGCAGGTTAAGCTGCCACCTGCAGTGCCAACACTGCATATGGGTGTTGGTTCGTTGTCCTGGCTGCTCCTCTTCTGATCCAGTTCCCTGCTAATGTGCTTGGACCCATGTGGTACAGATGAAGCTCCTGGCTTCAGAGCTCCAGCTGTTGTGGTCATTTGGTGAATGAACCAGTGGATGGAAGATCTTTGTCTCTCCTCCCCTCTCTGTAACTCTGCCTTTCAAACAAATAAATAAAAAGAAAAAAGAGGTTCTGAGGCCAAGTGTAATGAAATAGGAAAACAGATAGCAGGCTGGAGGCAGAGCTGTCAGCACCGCCTTGTAGGTCACAAGGAGTTTGATTTTATTCTGAGTACTATGGAAGATACTGCAAGGGAGTGGCATCCTCCCAATTATGTTAAACAAAGGTCTCCCTCTGGCTGCTGTGGAAGCAAAAACAAGAGCAGGGAGATCAAGTGGCTACTGCAGTACCCACGAAAGAAACTAGGGAATCTCGGAGCAGGACACTGGCTAAGGAGCTGAGAGACAGGTGTTTCAAGATACAATTTAGAACCACAAGTAACAGGACTTGGAGACTGTGATTATGGGAGTAGGCAAGGAGGTATCACGGACGCTTGGGTTTCCAGCGTGAGGGCCAGGGTGTGCGATGGCACCTTTCACTGAAATGGAAAACACAGGAGGAGGAAGAGCAGGTTTCTCAGGAAGGCATGAAGTTTGAGATATTTGTGAAACAAAGGGCCTTTAAGGAGTGGACAACGCCATACGATGGAACTCTGAAACCAGCAATTTCTTACACCTGTATATAACATTTGACATAACACATTACGACTCAGAAACAGGCACGAATCATTATTGTTATTCTGCAGATATAAACACCCTAAAGGGAATGGCATTATTTATTCAACCTTTACTGGGCACCATTACATTCCAGGCTGGATTGATCCAAGGAGGATCCACAAATGCTCTCCCATATCCTTAGTGCACAAGTCCCCGGACAAGAAGCCCTAAGAGTTCTTAGACATCCTTTAGGAACTCAAACCAAAAACAGCCTCTAAAAGTCTTCCAGCCTGATGGTTAGGAATTCTCAAAGTGCAGAGAAGTCTATAAAGCCGCAGTTGAGCTGAGGGACCCTTGTCTCCAAAACTGTGGTAAACGTGGCCTGACGGTTTGTAGAGCAGATCCTGATGTGGCCTATGCAGCTGCAGAGTAGGTAAGGGGCTTGTTTACATGAGGGCAACACCATGTGTCCCTACCTCAGTGTGTGGATTAAGGAGGAAGCAAAAGAAGCGAGAGTGTGCACTCCAGTCCCCAGGCCCACCAAGTATGTAATTTTCAAGCTAGTGGAGCTAAGTCCTACCAGGAGCCACAGCACCAGGCCCTGGGGTTCCCACTGTGTCGGCGGCTGCTGCTGGTGCTGCTGACTCGGTGCTTCTGAGTAAAGGACATGTGGGTCTGTTCAGAACTCTCCATTTCGGTCCAGTTACCAAGGTCAAAGTTTAGTTTGCCCAATGGCAGCTTTCATGGCAGTTTGAGAAGCAGTCCCGAGTTGAAGACTTAACTTTTCTTTCTCTAAAGAGTGCTTATTTCCTGGAGACTCCCACGGCAACCATGTGCTTCTCAGACTTCTCAGCACTGATCCTGGGCGGTCAATTCCAATCCTCTTCTTCACCTCTCCCCAAAAAGGCACGTGGAGAAGCAAAAAGGGAGACATTTCTAACCCTCTATGTAAACCCTGCTCCTCACCTACCGGAAACCAAATCAGCCAGTAAGTTAATCCCATCAATTTGCTGGGGCTGAGAGGCCACTCAGAGGACAACTGCAGTACAATCTCTCGCTCCAGGCCCAGACGGCTTCCCCGAGAGGAACACTTGCTGCCCTGAGATTCAGCACTCAACCTGGACAGCAAACGCTGCCTTCAAGCCATGGATATTTATTGAAAAAACTACATACTTATTAAAACATCTTTATACACATAATCCCCGTTACAAGATTACAAATATACAACCATGAGTTCTGTCAAAGTCCGCATCTTGCGTATCAGAAAAAAAATCGCAGAAAATCTACACCCTCATTTCCGTGGAATTCCTCATCCCCCAATGTCTTGACATCAAAAATCCAGCATCCACATGGAAAGTTTTCTGATGCTCAGTTCTGGGAAAGAAGAATTTGCCTAAAGTTCTGAGAGCTCCTTGGTAGTCAGGGAAAATGGGGAGCAATGGTAATGATCTTCAACAGTATTTTTATTAAACTCCATGGTGGTCTTCTCTCAAAATCAGTAATGAAATATTGACATGTCGTCTGATTGGTCAGGGCAACATGCTCAATCTAAGAGAACACAATAAATAATGGCTGTATTTCTTCTTATGAGCTGGAGGAGGGAAGGCTTTGAGCAAGTGTTTCAAAATTTAGTCCCAGGAAAGGTCTCTGCCCAACGGACCATCCCATGTGGACAGACACAAGGTGTGATCCTTTATGTTCATCCCCACACTCCAGAAAATTTGGGCCAAGGTCTTTCTGACTTGGTTCCCAGTTAAAGTCCTTGTTAAAAAGGTAGCAAGAGTTAACTACAAAGTTGCAGCTGCCTTGGGAAGAAGCATACAGGCAAATGGAAGGGGCCAGACTACTTAATAGCCCACCTGCTGGTTCCTAGTCTTTCATCTGAGAAGTTCCTCTGTCAAGAGTCCTGGTTCCGTGGTAGGGGTCTTATGGGTTTGGAGTCATTCTGGTTCTGACTTTCACTGCTTTCTATAACGCCACAGTTTTCCTTCTTCCTCCTCCTCCAAACAGCTCCATCACAAAGAGGTATTATTACCCCCGGGAGTTGTTAGGATAAAATGTCAAATGTTTAATGGAGGAAGAGAGACTTCACTTCACTCAAGTAATCCATCCATTGTGGAATTGAAATTGGTAGCCAATCCAGGAGCTACTGTTGGGAAAGGATCAGAGCTGTGCAGTAGAAAGAACTGGGATCTCTGTCGATAATCTCAACACACTGGGTGGGAAGGAAGGCGAGATCAGCAGTGAGAGCACAGATTCCAACCTTCAGTTCCAGAACCTTCTCAAAGCAGTCTCAACAAGGAAGCTGGCGCCCCCGACGCTGTTAGCTTTCCAAGTATTTGAAGATGCTCCGCTTTGGTCCTGAAGTGCTGTCATCTGTTTTGAGGCGTTTAGGTGAAGGCGATGTCATCAAAGCTGGACCCCTTTTCCTCACCTAGAGAGCAGACGGGGAGTCAGGGTCAGCTCAGGACCCTCATAGGAGTACTTACCTTCAACTGGTTCTTACGCAACTCACTTAAGTCATGGATGATAACAGGAAGACTACATGCAAACTTTTCAGGCAAGTTTCAAAGCTGATTACCTACAAGGTAATTATTCCCTTGCACCTCATGAGAGAGTGCAGGATTAGCACTGTAGCATAAACTGTTAAGCCAGAATCTTTGTTTTTTCAATCACATAAATAAATCAACGAATTTCACTTTGGGAAATCACCATAACAATTCTTAAACTGCCCACCTGAGGTTTAGAGGACTCCTTTGCCTCAGCTTTGACGGGAGAAAGTGTATGAAAAACAAAGTTTCTTGAATTTCGCGGGGCACTGGGGTTGAGGTCGGAGAGGGCAGCCAGTTTCTGAAGCACAGCTTTGGGCTGGTTTAGCAGGGACCCTGTCTTCCGCTGAGGAAAGAAGAGTCATCTGGTATCAAACACCAAGCGCTAAGGAAAGAATGAAGTCAGTCCCTCCTGCCTCCCCACAGGTATGGGGGCACGTGTTCTCACCTACTCAAGTCAGACACAGCTCCTTTGCCATCTCCTTCCATCTCCTTCAGCCTCCTCCCTCCTCTAATAACAGACTGGTTCTTTACCTTGATCTGGGCCCTTACAGCCTGTAGACCATGACAGCAGCCTAACAAGGTCCCCAACCAACCTGGTGAGCGCTTCCTGCTGTGATGGCTTCAAAAGGGTTTCTGAGAAGAGACTTTGATTCCTGAATAACCACAGGACGATTGGCTGGAAAGGAAAAAACAGACCTGTTCTGTGCAAAGCTGGGTAGAATTGCTTTTAAATCTAACGAAGCTAAGAAATCTTACAGTTAAACCAGTAAGCTAAAGCCATAGGGATTGAGTGTTTTATAATGGTGACTCTGAAGCTATAATAAATGGCTTCAAGCAGACAGACAACTTGGAGCCAGCGCTGTGGTGTGCTAGGTTAATCCTCCGCCTGTGGCACTGGCATCCCATATAGCGCCAGTTCTAGTCCTAGCTGCTCCTCTTCCAATCCAGCTCACTGCTGTGGCCTGGGAAAGCCGTAGAAGATGGCCCAAGTGCTTGGGCCCCTGCACCTGCATGGGAGACTTGGGGGAAGCACCTGGCTCCTGGCTTCAGATGGGCACAGCTCCAGCTGTTGAGGCCATTTGGAGAGTGAACCAATGGAAGGAAGACCTTTCTCTCTGTCTCCTCCTCTCACTGTCTGTAACTCTACCTCTCAAATAAATAAAAAACAAATCTCTAAAAAAAAAGAAAGAAAAGAAAAAAATGAAGACCGACAACTAAGAGCTGGTGTTGTGGTGCAGCAGGTTAAGCTGTTGCCTGCAAAACCAGTATCCAAAATGGGTGTGCTTGAGTTCTGGTTGCTCTAGTTCTGATTCAGCTTCCTGCTAATATACCTGGGAAAGCAGAGGAAGACGGCCCAAGCCCTTGGGTCCCTGCACCCACATGGGAGACCTGAAGGCATTCTGGGCTCCTGGCTTTGGCCTGGCCTAACCCTGGCCATTGCAGCCATTTGAGGAGTGAACCAGCAGATGGATGATCTCTCTCTGCCTTTCAGATAAATAAATCTTTAAAAAGAATACAACTAAAGTTGAACTTACTGATGAATCATTTACAGTAATAGTTTAAGAAAAACCAACAACAAGACTGGTAGGAGTGAGGTAAGAGCTTTATTTCTGAAGTTAAATATACCTGGGTTCAAATCCTGGTTTTAATACTTAAGATATATGGGACTGGCACTGTGGCGTAGTGGGTAAAGCTGCCGCCTGCAGTGCCGACATCCCATACAGGCACTGGTTCGAGTCCTGGCTACCCCACTTCTGATCCAGCTCCATGCTATGGCCTGAGAAAGCAATAGAAGATGGCCCAAGTCCTTGTACCCCTGCACCCACGTGGGAGACCCAGAAGAAGTTCCTGGCTCCAGGCTTCGGATCGGCACAGCTTTGGCCGTTGAGGCCAATTGGGGAGTGAACCAGCAGATGGAAGACCTCTGTCTCTCTCTGCCTCTCTTCCCTCCGTGTAACTCTAACTTTCGAATAAATAAATAAATCTTAAAAAAAAATACTTAAGATATATAATGCTGGTCAACTAAATAGAAAGGCCAGAACTTACTACTCTAAGCCTAAGAACATAAATAGCAAAAGAAGCTACATATATTCACCCATGTAACCTCTACTGTCCAGTAGTCTAAGATCTCAGCACACTTCTCTCCCCACTTCTGCGGGACAGTTATAGACACAAGCTAATGATTAAGTTGCACCCACCCCTAAAGGTTGGAGTCGCCTCTGAGTCTCCAGCACTAAAAATCCAGGGGCTGACCCCTGAACAGAACCAAGAGCTCACCATTCTTCTGCAGTGCTTTGGCTGTAACCTTCTTGGCTAGCATCATAAACTGACTGTCTTCTCCAATTTCTTCCTCTTCTTCAGTTGTAATTTTCCCCTGCTGTGCCTGAAAATAAAAATCATACAGCATTAACAGAAAAACCTACAGCTTTCCTATATAGTTAGCATAGACCTGGTTGTGGGCCTGGGATACCTGGTTAGTTTGTTGTCCTTTTACAACCTTTATTGCTTAAGACAAAAAAATTGATTTTGGACAAACAAACCTGAAGCGAATTTTACCCATGATAATCTTCTCAAAGCACAAAGAAATACTCAAGGAGTAAAAGGGACAGGCAACTATTAATACAAACAAGTGGCCAGGTCCTCTTGTTCTCACAAAGTAGGCGCAGCATAGGTGATCTTCTTGCAGACTTCTTACCTGGTCCCGAAGCCACTGCTCTCGTTCAATTCGCTCCTTCCTCCATCTGGCTTCTGTCTCGTCAAGCTGTTCTTCAATCTGATCATCATCAGAGTCTCTGTGGAACAGGTCCATCTGGGAAGCATCATCTAAAGCCAAGAGTTAAGTCTATTAGCATTCTGAAATTACCACAGGAGAGAATACTGGGACAGACACAAAACAAACCCTTATCATTCACTGTAGATTGACAACATTTTCCCGCCCAGTACAGAAAACAATGGCTACAGCCAGGACCTCCACAAAGCCTGTTATCATTTTGATTTCCATTTATCATCTTCAACTGGACAAATATGTGCATTAAAAGGTGTGTGCATCTAAAAGCAACAATCAAGATACCTATGTTTTTCCATCGGAATTTCCTCATTCGCCCAGGCCCGTCGCTATGCAGATCACCATCAGCGAGGTACCGCTCTTGGTATAAACGTAGCTGTCGCTTATCATCATCCAACATGGTTTTCCTAAAACGGGAGAAATCAGGTGTCCAAAACCAGGATGACTCCACGTGCCGTAAGGCCCACCTTAACATGTGCTCTACTACTTAGAAGGGTCTGCTGAGATACTGACATGTGTATTTTCTTGATTTGACTCTGCAGCTCCTCATCAGAAGGAAGTACTTCATCAATTACGTCCTCTTCATATTCATCAATTTCTTCCCCATCATACTCGTCTTCACTTCCCACGTCACTTCCTGACACCTCTGCCTCGTCCTCCAGGTATTTCTTTAATCTCCTAGGAAGCAATTTTAAAGATTAGAAAACATAACAATGAATATACACATATAATATGAACACAATGAGAAAAACAGAAGAGTTCTAATAACAATAATGCACTTAAATTTACAAATACATTTTAATAATATTTAAATCATTTTTTTTCAAAGGTAAGCTTTTGGTACAGTGGTTAAGACTCTGCTTGGAGAGTCTGCTTCACATATTATAGTGCCTAGGTTTAACTCCTGGCTCTGCTCCCAGTTCCAGCTTACTGCTAATGCACACTTTCAGGGCATCAGGTGACAGCTCAAGTGGTTGGTTTCTGCCACCCACATGGAAGACCTGGATTCATTCTAGGCTCCTGGTTTTGGCCTGGCTCAGCTCTAGATGTTATGGGCATTTGGGGAGTGAACTAGCAGGTGGGAGGTATCTTTCTCTTTTTTCCTCTCTCTCCTTCAAGTAAATAAATGAAATCATTTTTAAATATTTAAAAGTTGATCACTTAATACACACCATATGCCAATAATTGTGCTTTATAGGCATTACCACAGTATCTTAGGAGTAGGTACAATTATTCCCTTCATTGTACAGTTAAAGAAGCAGAGGCTCAGAGAGTAAGCAATTTGTCCAAGGTTACACAAGAAGGTAGCAGAACCCACATTCAATCTTGGCTGGATGATTCTAAAGCAAAAAAGTTTTAATCTCTTCTACATTTTTAGGAACACTTGCTGGAAAATTCAAACTCCTGTTTTGCATTCAAGCATACCAAATTTAGGAGACAGATTAAAGATGGCAACGTATAGAAAGATTATAACAGAATGGGATCTTCTTATAGCCCATCAAATCTTGCTCCCCACCTCCTACTCCCAAATTATTGGCAAGACTGTAGCTCAGAGCTCTTGGTAATCAAAACTACCACTAGGGGGCTGGTGTTGTGGTACAGCAGGTTAAATGGCCACTTGCAATGCCAGTGTCCTATACTGTAGCATCAGTAAGAATTTCAGCTGCTCCACTTCTGATCCAGCTCCCTGCTAATGGGCCTGGGAAGACAACGGATGATGGATGGGCCCCTGCCATCCATGTGGGAGACCAAGATGGAGTTCCTGGTCCTGGGTTAGGCCTGGCCCACATCTGACTATTGTGGTCATTTGGGGCATGAACCAGAGATGGAAGATATTTCTCTATCTGCCTTTCAAATAAATGAAATATATAAATTAACAATTTTTTTTAAAGAAACCACCAATTATTTTTTGTGACTTTAGCTCCTCTTGAAAACAAATTTGCTGTCACTCAAAGTTCAAAGTCCTTTATCTATTATCACAAACAGCAAAAGTTTGATAGTCTTATGAAAACTGATTTTTTAAAAAGGATTTATATATTTATTTGAAAGGTAGTCACAGAGAAACAGAGAGAAAGAGGGAGAGACAGAGAGAGAGAAAGAGAGAGAGAGAGATTTTCTATCCACTGGTTCACTCCCAGAAATGGCTGCAATGGTTGGAGCTGGGCTAGGCTGCAGCCAGAAGCCAGGAGTTTTTTCCAGGTCTCCCATATGGGCGTGAGGACCCAAGTACTTGGGCCATTCTCTGCCACTTTTCTCAGGCACATTAGCAGGGAGCTGGATCAAAAGTACAACAGCCAACAGGTTTTACACTTTACCCAACAGCGCTTGTCCCCTATCCACCTTTGAGCAGTTCAACTTTTAGCTGTCATTCTTCAAAAGACTTCATTTTAATCAAGAGCTATACAATTAAGCAAGGTATAAGAACCACTGCCTTACGGGGGCAGTTTGAGACTCAGCTGATCTACTTTCAATCCAGCTCTCTGCTATGGTCTGGGAAAGCAATGGAAGATGGCCCAAGTGCCTGGGCCTCTGCACCCACGTGGGAGACCTGGAAGAAGTTCCTGGCTCCTGGCTTCAGATCAGCCCAGCTCCAGCCATTGCAGCCATTTGGGTAGTGAACTAGAAGATGGAAGACCTCTCTATCTGTTTCTGCCTCTCTGTAACTCTGCCTTCCAAATAAATAAATCTTTTTCTTTCCCCCAAAGAAACTTTTTTAAATAAATAAATCTTAAAAGAAAAAAAAAAAACAAAAAACCAAGAACCACTGCCTTAGAAAAATGTATGGGATGCCCCAAAGTGGTATGATAGTTAACTTGATAGGTGACATATTAGAATCCCAAATGGATCTTAACAGAATGGAATGATGGACTAAAAACAACAATATAAATCTAATAGAGATCAATATAATGTTCTACATATAATTATGTCATTCACATATGATATAAAATGGTAAAACTGAGTACCTATTACAATTATCTTTATGAAACTTTTTAACATCATAAAAATGCTTTTAGACATGTAAAATGGGGGAAAAAGCAAGATGCAAAATTTTATATAAAAATTGCACGAATCTCCAGTATGTAAAAATAAATGCATTAAAAAACATCAAGAGGTTTACTTAGTGTAGGGTTAATCTTATGAATATAAAGTAAACTAAAAGTAGATCATTGTGAAAGTTAAGAGAGGAAGCAGGAGGAAGGGTAGGAAGTAGGAAGTATCACTATGTTACTGAATCTGTATATATGAAATATGTGAAGTTTGTTCTCACCTTTTTTTTTTTTTTTTTTTTTTTTTTTTTTTTTTTTTTTTTTTTGACAGGCAGAGTGGACAGTGAGAGAGAGACAGAGAGAGAAAGGTCTTCCTTTGCCGCTGGTTCACCCTCCAATGGCCGCCGCTGCAGCCGGCGCACCGCGCTGATCCTGGCAGGAGCCAGGAGCCAGGTGCTTTTCCTGGTCTCCCATGGGGTGCAGGGCCCAAGCACCTGGGCCATCCTCCACTGCACTCCCTGGCCATAGCAGAGAGCTGGCCTGGAAGAGGGGCAACCGGGACAGAATCCGGCGCCCCAACCGGGACTAGAACCCGGTGTGCCGGCGCCGCAAGGTGGAGGATTAGCCTATTGAGCCACGGCGCCGGCCTGTTCTCACCTTAAAAACACACATCACGAGGAGGGTGGACATTTAGCCTAGGGGTTAAGACCCTGCTCTGATAACAGTCCTTGGGTTTGATACCCCGTTCTGGCTCTTGACTCTAGTTTCCTGCTACTGAAGATCCTGGGAGGCAACAGTGATGGCTCAAGTAACTGATTCCTGCCACCCTTGAGGGAGACAGATTGTGTGCCCAACTCCAGCTTCAGCCTTACCTAATCCCGACTGTTGTGGGCATTTGGGGAGTGAACCACCAGATGGGCTGTCTCTCTCTGTGTCTTTGTCTAACTCTCTCTCGCCCCCCCCTCCCTTTTTTTGGAAAAGATTTATTTATTTACTTGAAAGACAGAGTTATAGAGAGGTAGAGGTAGAGAAAGAGATAGAGGTCTTCCATGCACTGGTTTACTCCCCCAGTTTGCTGCAATGGCCGGAACTGCACTGATCCGAAGCCAGGAGTCAGGAGTTTCTTCCAGATCTCCCATGTGGGTGCAGGGGCCCAAGGACTTGGACCATCTTCTACTGCTTTCCCAGGCCATTGCAGAGAGCTGGATTTGAAGTAGAGCAGGCAGAACTTGAACCCGCGCCCATATGGGATGCCGGCACTACAGGTGGTAGATTTATCTGCTATGCCACAGTGCTGGCCCCTCTCTAACTCTCAAATAAAATTTTACATCTTAAGAGGAAATAACCACCATCAACAATTTCACATATATTCTAGATAGTGGATACAGATGACTTTTACTTTTATTTTCCTGTATTCTTTTTTTTTTTTTTTTTTTTTTTTTTTTTTTTTTTTTTTGACAGGCAGAGTGGACAGTGAGAGAGAGAGAGACAGAGAGAAAGGTCTTCCTTTTGCCGTTGGTTCACCCTCCAATGGCTGCTGTGGCTGGTGCGCTGCGGCTGGCACACTGCGCTGATCCGAAGCCAGGAGCCAGGTGTTTCCTCCTGATCTCCCATGCAGGTGCAGGGTCCAAGTACTTGGGCCATCCTCCACTGCACTCCCTGGCCACAGCAGAAAGCTGGACTGGAAGAGGAGCAACCGGGACAGAATCCGGTGCCTCGACCGGGACAAGAACCCACTGTGCCAGCCGCAGGCAGAGGATTAGCCTATTGAGCCACGGTGCCGGCCATTTTCCTGTATTCTTTTAAAACTAAAATAAACATCTAAAACATTTAAAAAAATTTTAAAAAGTCATTTGCCCAAGACTAGGATGAGGAGACTAGAATGATGTTAATTCACAGGAAAAAAAAGCCAGGAATCCCAGTCACTATTAGATCACCAGGATCTAGAGTATGACTCAGCTCTGATGATCTCTGGTTATATTTTAAGTAGCTTGAACCCAGTACAAGGGAACAGTCAGACCACACTTGAGGATAGAGAATAACAAGGAAGTGAGGAGACTAGAAGCAATGCCAGTGCAGCTAACATTCTTTGATACCCATGTGGAAGGCCTGGATGGAGTTCTGGGCTCCTTGTTTTCAGGCTGGCTCAGCTCTGGCTGTTGTGGCCATTTGGGGAAACAATCAACAGTTGGAAGCTTTTTCTCTCTCTCATACTGACTTACAAATATATAAGGAAATATATATATATATATATATTTTTTTTTTTTTTCCTTTAGTAGCAAGTTGAGGGTTGGCACTGTGGCTCAGTAGATTAAGCCATCAACCTACAGTGCCCACATCCCATATAGGTGCCAGTTCAAGTCCTGGCTGCTCCATTTCTGATCCAGCTCCCTGCTAATGCACCTGAGAAAGCAGCATTAGATGGCCAAAGCCCCTGGGCCCCTGCCACCTACTTGTGAGACCTGGAAGAAGCTCCTGGCTCCTGGTTTCAGATCAGACCAGCTCAGGCATTGAGGCCATTTGGGGAGTGAACCAGCTGATGGAAGATCTTTCTCCCTGTCTCTCCCTCTCTATCTGTAACTCTGCCTTTCAAATAAATTAATTAATTAAAAAAAAAAAAGTAGCAAGCTATAACTAAATCATTTGGGAAACTTTCTTACAGTAAAAAAAACAAAACAAAACAAACATAATACCTACATTTGCCTTTTCAGCTTCTCAGATTGCTTCAAGAGTTCTTCTTCATCATCATCTTCATGGTCCTCCAGGGCCAGATCTTCGTCACCAGAGTCACTCTGTTCATCCTGCAAAATCACAGTATCTCACCTGACATTGAGTGGAATAAAATTGTCCTTAACGAAAACAGAACTTACAACTTCTGCCCAGGCATCTCAAATTTGCTTCTGATAAGATGCCAAACTTAGAAGTCTCAAGAACTCAACCAAGAAAAAAGCCCCTAAGGGTAGCAACTGAGTTCAGTAATGATCACTTTGTTCCCTTCAGACTCACCTCATCACTATCAAATTCATTATCATTTGGGACGAGCTGAAAGTCCCCTAATTCTTCCTCTTCACCTTCTTCTTCTTCCCTAAAATGCAAATAAATGAATCAATAAATAAGCAAGCCATAAGCAGTTGGCCAAGTGAAGAATCTGAAATACTTTATTAGCACTGATAGTCTCTTCAAGGAAACTGGGGCCGGTGCTATAGGGCAGCAAGTGGAGTTGTGGCTTGCCATGCGGGCATCCCATGCTGGAGTGCAGGCCTGAGTCCCGGCTACTCTGCTTCCAATCCAGCTTCCTTCGAATGTGCTTTGGGAAGGCAGCAAAAGATGGCCCAAGTACCTAGGCCTCTGCCACCCACATGGGAGACCAGGATGGGGTGCTTGGCTCATGGTTTTGGCTTGGCGCAGACCTGGCTATTGTGGCCATCTGGGGAGTGAACCAACAGACGGAAGATCTCTGTGTCTCTCTCTATGTCACTCTTTTTTTAAAAAAAGTTAATTTATTTATTTGAAAGTCACAGTGACACAAAGAGAGAAGAGGCAAAGAGGGAGAGATCTTCCATCTGCTGGTTCACTCCCCAATTGGCTGCAATGGCTGGAGCTGTGCTGATCCAAAGCCAGGAGCCAGAAGCTTCCTCCAGGTCTCCCACATGCGTGCAGGGGCTCAAGGACTTGGGTCATCTTCTACTGCTTTCCCAGGCCATAGAAAAGAGCAGGATGAGAAATGGAACAGCCAGAACTCGAACGAGCACCCATATAGGATGCTGGCACCGCAGGTGGTGGCTTTACCCTCTACACCGCAGCACCAACCTCTGTATTTTTTGTCACTCTTTCAAATACATAAATTAAAAACAACCCCACAACAAACAAGATATCATGCTTTTTATAAAAAAAAAATTTAACTGTGGTAAAATATACGTAACAAACAATTTAGCATCTAAACCACTCTTAAGTACGCAGCTCAGTAGTGTTGAATATATGTATTTGGTTATATAAGCAATCTTCAGAATTCTTCTCATCTTTCCAAACTGCAAGTCTTTTTTTTTTTTTTATGAGAATCATTAGTTAAATGCAGCTAAAAAATTTTTAAAGATTTATTTATCTATTTGAGAGGCAGAGTTACAGAGAGAGAGAGAGAGGGAGAGACAGAGAGAAAGGTCTTCCATCTGCTGGTTCACTCTCCAAATGGCTACAACTGCCAGAGATGGGCCGATCTGAAGCCAGGAGCTTTCTTAGGGTCTCCCACATGGGTGCAGGGGCCCAAGCATTTGGGCCATCCTCCACTGCTTTCTCAGGCCATTAGCAGGGAGCTGGATCACAAGTAGAGTAGCCGGGACTCGAATCAGCACCCACATGGAATGCTGGCACCACAGGCAGAGGTTAAACCTACTATACTACAACACAGGCCCCATTTCCTTCCTTTTTGTGGCTGAATAATATTTCATAGGATGTATATATCACATTGTTTATTCACTCATCTGTAAACAAACACTCAGGTAGCTTCCACATTTTGACTACTGGTCTGAACACAGGTATACAAATAGTTGTTTCAATCCCTGCTTTCATTTCTTTGGCTACATACTAAGAAGTGGGATTGCTGGGTCATATGGTAATTCTATTTCTAATTTTAGAAGAACCACCATACTGTTTGCCATAGCTGTTAAACAATTTTATAGTCTCACCAACAATACACAAGACTTCCAGTTTCTCCACATCCTCTCCAACATTTCTAACAAGTATAAGGCAATATCTCATTGTGGTTTTGATTTGCATTTCCTTAATAATTAGCGATGTCAAGCATATTTCATGTACTTATTCTTCCCTTTTTTTTGTTTTTCATCAAAGTATTTTAGTTTCCTTACTTTGCAAATATGAGGTCCAAATCCACTCCAAGACCCAGCCAAGATAGGGAACCTCTAAGATAGTTATTGCTAAGTCCAGAACCTGATACCAAGATTTTATCCAAAGGTCAAGCCTTCTCAAGTTCCCACTGATCTCTGAGACTCACCTGTCTGTCGGGAAAGAGCCTGAGCAAAGAGCAAGTGCTTCCTCCATTGGATCACCCATACTGCTCTCCTTTTCCTGCTTGTTGAACTCTGATGGAGCCAAGCTGGAGGGATCTACATCACAAGGAAAAGATTTGTCACCAAGGAATGACAGCTTTATCGTCTTTTCCCAGCCATCCAATGACATGCCAGCTCAATAGAATTCTAAGGTATGCTTAGCAAAAAGAGCTTTCTGTCCATTCATTCAACAAATCCTAACTTAGTGCTTAGCTTGCGCCAAACACCAGATACAGCAGTGAACAAAACAAAGATCCCAGGTCTCACAGAATCGAATTCTAGCAGGTGTGTGTGTCAGGGGAGGGGAGGATACAGGCGGAAAGAATATTTATATGAAATTTGTTACATACCAGACACTGTTCTAAGCCCTTGTACATAATATATCACGTGACCAAAACTAATAGTCTTGAGTTGATAATTTACCAATCTAAGGAAGTAAGGGCTCTAAATGTCAGGGAACTCAGCAGTGAATTCAGTTTACATGCAAGATTCCCTCACAGCCTTTCTTTCTGTAAACTTTTCACATGAGGGTAAGGGGCTTTTTCCCCCTGGAACACTGATTTAAGATATTTGGCTGTGGCGACCCTTCGTTCTCTGCTTCATATTTACCCTGAGAAGTGAATTTTCCTGAACAGAGATTCAGGAGTTCCTCCATGTTCTCTTTCTTGTCACTCTTTGTGGACAGATGTTTTTCAGTCTGAGTTGTAAACTTCCCAGTACACAAATCCAACAGCTCATCCATGTTGGCATCCATGGCATTCTCATCCATACTGGCCAATGGCAACCGAGGTTTCAAGGCTTGGTACTGATTCCTGTGGTTCCTAACATTTAAGAACCTACAAATACAATGAATAGAGTAGGAAATTCTCCAGAGAAGCAGAAAAGTCGTGGGTGAAAAACTCTGGATTTATTCCCAACACCAAAATTAGAAGCTGAAACTCAAATTGGAAAACAAAAGATTCAAACTTAGCCTCATGCTAATCTGAAGTGGTTGAGGGAAGTTATGCAAAAAAAAAAAAAGAATAAAACGATATTCAAAAGATCAGATGAAAAGAATGATTTTGACTTCACACAATACTAGAGTCTGGCTCTGTGTTACATCCTGTAATGTGCTGGGGCCTGTGAATCCTCAATCTTACTCAACAATTATAATGTAGTAGAGATGGATATGGGGAAATTTAACGCCGTCACAATACAAGATCAATGGAGTTCAAAGAAGTGATTAAGGGATCAGACAGTCAGCAAGAACTAGGTATATTTTATTTTCTGAAGACTTTGTTCAAACTTGTAGAATATAATACTAATGATCTGTACACCTTCTTTCTCTTTCTCAGAAGAGAAAGCACAGATGGAGTGACAGAAGCTCACTTTATTTTTAAACAAAATTAAGCAGTACCCAGCACCATTCCCACCCACAGAAACACAAAACTACCTACCCATCTGCATCCAACAGTTGGCTCTGAGTGTCATCTTCTAAACAGAACTGGAAGTCTCCTGCTCCTAGGAAAAGTGTCTTAGGCTCTGGGGAGGCGTTATACAGATCCTGGGAATCTTCAATGGGAAGTGAAGGCTCAGACAGCTTCCCTGAACTCTGGCACCAAAGCAAAAACAAACAATAACAAAACATTTTGCAAATGTCATTCAGTGTCATGAAAACAACAGAAGTTGCTGTTTGCAACACTGAAACTACTCCCAGGCAATTGCAGTCGAGGACAATGCATAGCCAAGAGAAGCACAAAGAAAAATACCACCCAGAAGTAGGAACACTGGATGAAGCTTGTTTTTAATACACAAAGAGGGTGGATTTTTCAAACTGAACACACATAAGCTCAGGAGCATGGTGGTAGGAGTGGGTTGGCTGGAACACACTTTATTTAGCAATGTGGGAAGCAAAGGAGGAGATTAGAAAAACTATTACCAACCTACCTTAGAAGCTGAGCTGACCAAACTAGACCGAAATAACCCAGGGGAAGGAGATCGGAATCCTCCTGCAGGAAAAAAGCTGGTTCCTCGGCCTGTTTGTCTGTTGCAAGGCTGATAGGATGGAATGGTGGAGCCAATCAGCTCAAAGCTGCTATTGTGGCTGCTCTCCTTTGTCAGCAATGAACATGAATCATCTTCCTCTAAAGAAAGAGAAATACCTTTCAAGTATGTGATTATAGAAAGAAGGTGGGTTTGTTTAGGAAAAAGTTGAGAATGAAACTGTGAAGTAAAATTCACAGGCAAACTCCTCATGTTGTATGTTCCAAAACATTAAAAGTAAATGATGGGGGTGGGTGTTGTGAAGTGGTTTAAGTCAATGCTTAGGACACCTGTACCCCCTATCAGAAGGCTAGGTCAAGTCCCAGCTGCTCTGCTTCTGATCCAGCTTCCTGCTATTGCGCTTGGAGGCAGCAGATGATGGATCAAGCACTTGGGTTCCTGCCACCCACATGGAAGACCCAGATGGAGTTCCTGGCTCCTGGTTTTGGCCTGGCCCAGCCCCAGCTGTTACAGGCATTTGGGGAGTGAACTAGCAGATGGAAGATATCTCTATGTCTCTCCCTCTTTCTCTGTCACTCTGCTCTCAATTTTTTTTTTTTTTTTAAATTAAATGACTGTACTAAGATGGCATTATGGGGGTCAGTGTCATGGTGCAGCAGGTTAAGCTGCTGTTATGACACTGGCATCCTCTGAGTGCTGGTTTGAGTCTTGACTGCTCTGCATCTGATCCACCTCCCTGCTAACGCGCCTGGGAAAGCAGTGGAAGATGACTCAAGTACTTTGGTCATTGCCACCCACATGAGACCTGGATGGATTTCCTGGGTCCTGGCTTCTGCCTGACCCAGCCTTGACGATTGCGGCCATTTGGGGGGTGAATGAGTAGATAGAAGATCTCTGTGTCTTTCCCCCTCTCTTCTTGTTACTCTACATTTCAAACAAAATAAATCTTTTTAAAAAGTGGCATTATATAATCAGGGTTTATTACTTTGAGCTAAGTGATGTCTGGAAGTTCTTTTCTTTCTCGCACCCTGACTAATGCCATTGAGCACCCCTTTCATTATCCAATCAATTAGATATCTCCCTTGGAACTAGATATAGAAATAGTTCAGGGTTCACTCAATCAACATGTGCTCACCAAGGACCCACTATATTATGCCCAGGATCCACTACAAAAAAAAAGTGCATGTAAGTTGCTACATGTAAGATGGGGAAAAGTTACCAGATTACAAAAATGTAAACTTGGAGCCAGTGCTGTGGCACAGCGGGTTAAACAGTGGCTTGGGACACTTGCATCCCCTGTTGGAGTGCCTGGTTCCAGTCCCAGCTACTCTGTGCTTCCAATCCAGCTTCCTGTTCCTTAGGAGATAGTGGATGATGGCCCAAATTCTTAGGACTCTGCCACCCATGTGGGAGACCCAGATGGAGTTCCTAGCAACTGACTATTACAATCATCTGGGGAGTGAACCAGCAGATGGAAGCTCTCTCTCTTTGTATCTCCTTTTCTTTGTCACTCTGCCTTTCAAACAAATAAATACATACATCTTAAAAAAAATAAACCTACAGAATTGTAATCCTTAAACATCAAAGCTAGAAGATAAAGAAAAGTCTGGTTCTGTGGTAGTTACTGCTTACCTAGTTTGCTAGGCTGTTTGCTTGAGCTTTCATCTGTTTCTGATTTTTCTTCAGAAGGAAAGTAACTACAAAATAAGAAGGTAAATCATTTGAACATCTGTTCCTACTTCTTCCTAGAAGGACAAATCCAAGTAAATTTCCTATTTCCTTAGAGAGAATTGCTTACCCCATCTTTAAAGAGCTGTCCTTAAATAGGAGTAAGGTAGAATCTGATGAGAGGGGCTTGGGATCAGAGAGAAGGCCAACTGCTTTATCAATTTCACTACTGCCCTCATTATTTTCTTTATCCATTTCTTTCTCATCTTTGGTTTCTATTTCTTCATTACTAAGAAGAAATTCTTCAATCTTCATCAATCGTAACAGCCAAAAACAAAACAATCCAAGTCAAAAGATTTAAAAGCAAACCCACTGTTTAGTTAGAAACACTGCTGCATGGTTAAAGGTCACATCTTAAATCTGCAAAGGTAAGCCTGAAGGAACTCGGTCTATTACATACTTTCCCTAACACTTTTAGAGAGCTCTTTTATACTTATTTTCCCTTCTATCCTCCCCAAATTGTTAAAACATAATGAAAAAAGACTGGATTATCATTTGAGTGAGGCAATAACAGGTTAAAAATTACTCTAAGAGAGTAGGCTACGTCCTAACCTCAAACCCAACACAGATGTGATATGATGTCCAGTTATTGCTTTGTTTTTCCTTTTCACAGGGGCAAGTATTAACCAATTCCTTCAAGTGATCTCAACATAGAAACAAAATACCTAACAACCACATCACTTGCCTTCCCTAGGCAAAAAATAATACTAGCAAACAAGGGCAAAAGGTCCTTCTACCAATATCTTCCTCAAAAAGAATCAGATTAACTGAGGAAGGCCTCTGCTTGCCTGGGAATTTATTTCATATCTTAACCTGGCCAAAATTAAATTTAAAAAAAAATTCTGGCTGGTGCCACGGGTCACTAGGCTAATCCTCTGCCTGTGGCGCAAGCACACTGGGTTCTAGTCCTGGTTGGGGTGCCAGATTCTGTCCTGGTTGCTCCTCTTCCAGTCCATCTCTCTGCTGTGGCCTTCCCAAGGCAGTAGAGGATGGCCCAAGTGCTTGGGCCCTGCACCCACATGGGAGACCAAGAGGAAGCACCTGGCTCCTGGGCCGTGGCGGCCATTTGGGGGGTGAAACAATGGAAGGAAGACCTTTCTCTCTCTCACTGTCTAACTCTGCCTGTCAAAAAAAAAAAAAAAAAAAATTCTGATGAACATGTGATGCTTGTAATTACCATTGCTTTTTAATCTGAATATACAGCTAAATAAGCAGTCCCTATTAATATAAAGCCATTTTCAATATTAGCATTATATTTAAATGCAATCTAACACGCAGAAGCCAGGACAATGGTTCTATGAACTGTGGGGATCCAACAGTGCTGACAGAAGTGAATATACTGGGGCCGGCCCTGTGGCACACTAGGTTAATCCTCCGCCTGCAGCGTGTCATCCCATATGGGCACCGGCTCTAATCCCAGCTGCTCTTCTTCCATTCCAGCTCTCTGCTGTGGCCTGGGAAAGCAGTAGAAGATGGCCCAAGTCCTTGGGTCCCTGCACCCACTTGGGAGACCAAGAAGAAGCTCCAGGTTCCTGGCTTTGGATCGGCACAGCTCCAGCTGTTGTCGCCATTTGGGGAGTGAACTAGCAGATGGAAGACCTTTCTCTCTGTCTCTTCCTGTCACTGTCTGTAACTCTACCTCTCAAATAAATAAATAAAATATTTTTAAGAAAAAAGAGAAACGAATGTACTAAGACTTAGACACATATGAGGCAGCTCCCTTTGTCCATGGCCCAACCAACAACTCCTATACAACTGAACATGCTGATTATACTCTTATTTCAGTTGGATCGCCTTTCTCCTATTCATCATGACTAAGTAACAAGATTACATAATTCCCAGAAACCTCCTCATTGCCTTCTTCCTCCTCTTCCTCTTCTTTCTCCTCCCTTCCTCTTCTTTCTCCTCCTCTTCCTCTAATTCTTCCTCTTCTTTCTCTTTTTCTTCTCCTGCTTCTTCTGTCTCCTCTTCTCCATCTTCCTCAGACTCATCTGTCATTTCTTCCTCCTCCTCCTCCTCCTCGTCCTCAAACCCATCTTCATTATCTAATTTAAATAATGCTTGGCGCTTTTGGCGCTCTTCAAACCTTCGGAGTTTCATTGCCTCTTGAAGCTTAGCTTTCAACACCTGAAGCTTTTCACCTGTACAGACAGGAAGAGAAACAATCCAGGAGTAAAACTGGAAAAAGAGATGAACTGGGAGTTTTCAGAAAAATAAAGACATGTTAATAAGCAAATTAAAAATAAGCTTAACCTCGTTTCTAATGAAAGAGAAGCAAATCAAAATAACAAGATAGCATTTTTGACAAATTACTTTGATGATATTTATCAAAATTCGATTCAGTGATTCCACTTCCTCTATAAGGGATTCTGCGTCCAGATTATACCCATCTATATCTGGTTCTAGGCTACTAGAAAAAAACTGGAACAGGCCGGCGCCGCGGCTCACTAGGCTAATCCTCCGCCTAGCGGCGCCAGCACACCGGGTTCTAGTCCCGGTCGGGGCGCCGGATTCTGTCCCAGTTGCCCCTCTTCCAGGCCAGCTCTCTGCTGTGGCCAGGGAGTGCAGTGGAGGATGGCCCAGGTGCTTGGGCCCTGCACCCCATGGGAGACCAGGAAAAGCACCTGGCTCCTGGCTCCTGCCATCGGATCAGCGCGGTGCGCCGGCCGCAGCGCGCCAGCCGCGGCGGCCATTGGAGGGTGAACCAACGGCAAAGGAAGACCTTTCTCTCTGTCTCTCTCTCTCACTGTCCACTCTGCCTGTCAAAAAAAAAACAAAAACAAAAACAAACAAAAAAAAACAAAAAAAACTGGAACAAACAGCATGTCCATCAATACAAGTATGGTTAAACAAACTGTGTTGCATTCATTCAGTAGAATAGTATGCAGCTGTTAAAAGGAAGCCTCAAAGGTAATGTATAACTGAGCTTTAGAACTGGGTGGTCTGGATCAGCTGCTGGCCCTACCGCTTATTATCTATGTAAACTTTTAAAAAAATTTATTTATTTGAAAGAGCTACACAAAAAGAGGGAGAGAGAGAAACAGATATTCCATCCATTGTTTCACTTCCCAAATGGTTGCAACTGCCAGGGCAGAGCTGGGCTACGGTGAAGCCAGGAGCCTGTAACTCCTTCTGGGTCTCCCACTTGGTTAGCAAAGGCCAAAGCACCTTGAGCCATCCTCCACCGCTTTTCCCAGGTACATCAGAAGGGAGCTGGTTCGGACACGGAGCATCAGGGACTCCAACCACTGTTCATATGGGATGCCAGCATCACAGGCAGCAGCTTAAGCCACTGTGCAACAACACTGGCCCCTCAAAGATAACTATTAGCAACTTCTTGGGGCCAAGGTTGTGGCACAGCAGGTTAAGCCACCACTTCTGATGTCGGCATCCCATATCAAAGCCCCAGTTCAAGTCTTAGCTCTGCCTCCGCTCTAGCTGCTAATGCACCTAGGAAAACAGTGGAAGATGGTCCAAGTACTTGGACCCTTGACAACACACATGGGAGACCCAGATAGAGTTCTGAGTTCCTAGCTTTGGCCTGCCCCAGCCCTGGCTGTTACAGCCGTTTGGAGAGTGAACAAGTGAATGGAAGATCTCTTTCTCTGCCACTCTGCTTTCAAATAAATAAAATGAACCTTTAAAAAAATGCATGTAAGGAAGAGAGTTTAAGGATAGATACACAAAATGGTTATAGAACTTGTCTCTGATAGAGGACTGAGGTTTTTTGTTTATTTTATATGAGGGGAGCTTCAAAAAGTCTGGAAAAATGAAATTTTAAGGTAAGATGACTTCTCCATGAACTTTTAGAAGCATCCTCATTTTCTATGGTATTGGCTGCTTTTTATAATAATATTGATAAAGTCATCTTACCCACCCCAGACATTGTGTAGCACACCAGAAGCGCTGCTATCCAATCTCTAACATCTCCAAGGGAAAAAATTCATTGAATTCTCACTTTAGGATCTTTAACAGCCATAAAGATTCAAATACCTGGTTTTGTGTAGCTTGCTCCATCCAGCTTCTCAGCTGCCAAGGTCACAGGTACCACATCTGCCTTTAGCTCTTCCTTTCCCTCCGTGCCCACATCTTTCACTATGATGTTCACATTCACCGTCTGACCAGCCCTGGGTTTGGCTGCAGGATTGGCATGTTTCCAGAAACGCTGCTTCAAAGCTTCCAGTTCTAAACCCAAACACCGACAGTCTGTCAGTTTGCCATGCTCAAACTCTTTACAATTCCAGTTAATTATAAGCTTGTAATTATAAACCATGTTTTTAGTTCAACAGTGTTGAGGAAAGAAACACAAACAGAAAAAAAAAAAAAAAAAAAAAAAAAGAACCCCAAAATCCCTTTGCTACTAACGCCTGCATGAAAGGCATACAATTTAACCCAAATTAATGAACTGTGCAACTCTTCTTTCTCAATTTCAAAAATCAGACTTTAAGACAGAAATTTACAACCTAACTTTCTATATGTACAACTCTTTAAAAAAGATACCAGGGGCCAGCGCCGTGGCACAGTGGGTTAATCCTCCGCCTGCGGCACCAGCATCCCATATGGGCGCCGGTTCTAGTCCTGGTTGCTCCTCTTCCGATCCAGCTCTCTGCTGTGGACTGGGAAAGCACTAGAGGATTACCCAGGTCCTTGGGCCCCTGCACTCATGTGGGAGACCAGGAAGAGGCGCCTGGCTCCTGGCTTCAGATCTGTATGCTGCCATTTGGGAAGTGAACTAACGGAAGGAAGACCTTTCTCTCTGTCTCTCCCTCTCACTCTCTGTAACTCTAACTCTCAAATAAAATAAAGAAAATATTTTTTGAAAGAAGGTATTAATCCAACTTTAAAAAACCTACAATTTTCAACTATTTAATTAATTCTTCATGGGTTTCAGTTATGTTTTTTAATCCCTTCTTTTGAATATTTCATTATTGACAATCTTACTAATATGGGCAAGGTCAAATTTAAAAAAGGAAAAAGAAAATGACCTTCAACCCAGTGATCTAACTCCACAGTCTTGTGATGGAACTATTAACTAGTATAATTGGTACAATCAGAAAGAAAATGCAATTTATATGTAGCTCCTATATCACACACCCAACTTGTATACAAATAGAAACATACTGGGGGCAGTTAGTACAGTGGTCCAATGGCAATAGAGCCTTTTCCCTCTTTCTCACTGCTGTAGCTTAGAACTCTTCCATGATGAACTGTCTGAGATACTACAAGTATGGCTCATTTTTAAAAATGCACTCAAATCATACTTTAGAAGGTCATAGTATAAAAAGAGAACTGAAAGAAGTTTTACCCAGAATCCCTATATTATTAGAAGCAAAAACCCAACCCTACAGGATGGTATATTTTCATAAACAAAAGAGGCAGAATCTTTAAGTCTACCTCCTATTTTGTAGTGGAAGCAACAGGTGATGGCGGGGGAAGGGAACAGAAATCAGTGTCAACAGAATGAAAGACATGGTTGAGTAGGAAGATTACTCAGAACACAAAATAATAGCAAGGAAGAAGGTACCTTCATTTATAAACAGAGAAAACTAGATTCCTAGAGCCCTTCATATCCCAATCTACTGGAGCACACACTTTATTACATGACTCTAGCATCACCCTCCTCATTTTAAAATCCTTATTGAAGGTCATCTCCCTCTATCAGTCTTTTTCCAGCAACTCCCTTTTCCTAGCTAAGTGAAAAGTCTCTGCCTTAGTTCAAGTCTCTGCCAGTACCTTGGATCTAAAACAGTTCTCATTCCCACTGTTCTACCATTAAACAGAGGGAGTAAGGGCAGAGATGAATCCATATGCTATCACAAGGCACAAGAGCACTGATTCCAATACAGGTTGTTCCCTCTGAAATTCATGTTGAAATTTGTGAGAGAATTGAGAGGGGCATTTAAGGGGTGTTGGGATGGTAAAGAGGGATTAATGCCTTTCTCAAGGGAACTAATTCTCATGGCAGTGAATTCTCACTCTCTTGGGATTGCATCACCGTGAGAATGGGTTACTAGAGTGGCTGTTACAAAGCAAGGCTGCCTCTCATGCTTTGTCTCCGACATCTGCACATGCCTACTCGTTCTTCCACTTTCCATCATGAGGTGAGGCAGCAAGGGCTCTCACCAAAAACCAGCTTTGGCCACCCAATCGTCAGACTTGGTGTCCAGAGCATAAGGCTAAATAAACTTTCTTTTATAAATCATCTAGTCTCAGCTATTGTTATAACAATGTAAAATGGATTAAGATAAGAAGTAATATATTTCTGATACCATAAAATTTAAATCTATATGCATGTGTCATGGAAACCTTACCCTCTATGAGATAAAGAAATTGAGCTATTCCTTCCCACTGCTTTCACTGGGGCAGCCATTTGGGAAGCGAACCAGTGGACAGAGGATATCTCTCCCTCTCTCTCTCTGTAAATCTTCCAAATAAAATAAATAAATTTTTAAAAACAAAAAGAGGGAGGGCAGTGCTGTGGCTTAGAGGGTAAAGCCACCACCCACAGAGCTGGCATCCCATATGGGTGTCAGTTTGAGTCCTGGCTGCTCCACTTCCGATCCAGCTCTCTCCTATGGCCTGGGAAAGCAGTGATGTCCCAAGTCCCTGGGACCCTGCACCAACTTGGGAGACCCGAAAGAAGCTCCTGGCTCCTGGCTTTGGATCGGTGCAGCTCTGGCCGTTGCAGCCATCTTGGGAGTGAACCAGAGGATGGAAGACCTCTTTCTCTCTGTCTCTGCCTTTCTAATAAATAAATAAAATTTCTTTTTTTAAAGATTTATTTATTTATTTGAAAGAGAGTTTCACAGAGTTTCACAGGAGAGGCAGAGAGAGGTCTTGCATCTGCTGGTTCACTCTCCATTTGGCAGCAACGTCTGGAGCTGTGCCGATCTGAAGCCAGGAGCCAGGAGCTTCTTCCGGGTCTCTCACACAGGTGTAGGGGCCCAAGGACTTGAGCCATCTTCCACTGCTTTCCCAAGCCATAGCAGAGAGCTGGATTGGAAGTGGAACAGCCAAGACTTGAACTTGCCCCCTCATGGGATTCCAGCACTGCAGGCGGCGGCTTTACTTTCTACATCACAATGCCAGCCCCCAATAAATAAATCTTAAAAAAAAAAAAAAGTCCATTCAAAGTGATAATGCTTGATTTCAGTGTTGAAAGATCATTCCTGGGGCTGGCGCTGTGATGCAGCAAGTTAAAGCTGTGGTCTGCAGCACTGGCATCCCACATGGGCGCCGGTTCTAGTCCCAGCTGCTCCACTTCCAGTCCAGCTCTCTGCTATGGCCTGGGAAAGCAGTAGAAGATGGACCAAGTCCTTGGGCCCCTACACCCACATGGGTGACCCGGAAGAAACTCCTTGTTCTGGCTCCAGATCAGCTCAGTTCTGGCCGTTGCGGTCATTTAGGGAGTGAACTAACGGATAGAAGACCTCTCTTCTCTCTCTCTCTCTGGCTTTACCTTGCTCTGTAACTCTGTCTTTAAAAAAAAAAAAAAAAAAAAAAAAAAAGAAAGAAAGATCATTCCTTCATTCAATAAATACAAATGTCTACA